CTGACAAATCCAGTCACAAAACATGACAGGGAGAGCAGAGACAAATGAATGCTTTTCTCAGATTTCATTGGAATAGACTTGAATTGTGTTGGTCTTGCAGGAACTTACGGTGACTCGTTATGGGATCGGCTACAGTAGCGATTTATGCCGTGTAGGCCCATGTGCGCCCTCCAGAACAATTTGGTGGAATTCTTGACTTTGTCGTGATTGTTTTTCATGACGAGTGAACAACTTCCGAACTCAAATCTTGAAAGTTCCCGATGTAGACAAACTGGGTAATCTATGATATCTGAAACCATTGGGAACAAAACCGGAAACATCTAGACTCTAAAACAACCGTAAACCACAAATGGACACGGGACTAGCTCCTTCAGACATGTAATGACCAATGATTCGTCAGCCCCAGTAGGCCTAGAAAGATGAGAGTATTATTACAACGTGGTTTAGGCGTAAGCCATTTGGGCAGATGGCGCTTTCATAACAGAGTCATTCCGTTGCTTGCAGATATCGAGTTACACTAATATTCGCCATCAGTAATTCTGCTCTCGTTGTCAGATGGAGGCATCCTTGGTTACAATTTAGCAAGGGGATTGCTGCATTTGAGGAGCATGGCTACGACACGGGGGGGGAGACTTGAATAAGGAAGTCAGTCACCAAAGTGCAAGTCATCAAGCCTGAAGAGTCCACGTTTTATGTCCAGGGACCACGATCGTTACCACTGTGGGGACCCGTGTTGAAATAACGACCCAAGGGTTTTAAGGATAGATTGCATGCCTTATTCAGATGCACCTTGGTTGATATTAATGAGAGCACGCGTGTGACTTTCTTGATGGTAAATTTATCATTAAATTTTATCCACAGGTAGGTCGACATGCTGGCTTTATTTGCATCTTTTAAAAGCACCACTAAAGCAGATCCATTTATTAAAAAATGTAAATAAGTGTATATATTTATGCCTTTGGCTCGGAATCTCTACATCGAAGAAAAAAGCGGCTTCACTGAAAAGCAAATCATCTTTTGGGTTGCTTTGTTGCTAAGCTATAACATAAAAGCCAATCAAGTGGACGATGCACGCTTGCAAGGTCAGTCTCTTGCTTTCGTTGTAATAAGGCCCTATAGAAAAGGATTGTTGTCGTCACATCCTATTAAAATGTTTGAAAACCTTGGGACGTTTCACCGGACATTAAAACATTTTCGATGGCCACCTTTGATGATGGAAAGCAGTAACTTAAGTTTGACTTTTTTTACATAATGCTTCCTGCCAATGGCATTGACCGGTGCAAGTGAACAGTCGGTCACCATAGTTCCTTGGTTGGTCTCTTCGGTAGGGACTTAATGGGAAGACAAAACAGAGTGGAAACCGAACCTTACGTATAGGCCAACCATTGCAGTTAGTAGCGTCCATCTACTATTAGTCACTGTCATGTATTGCTTGCATGGATGCGCTATTCTGTTTGCGTCAGTCCCACTTCGTAAGCAGAACGTGCATAAACTTTGCTTTTAGCGCCAGGCATGTGGCTGTTAACCGTACGTGTGCGAATTTGCTTTTTGAGGGTATATTTCGGGCAGACGGTAAACCTAGTCCTGTTCAGTTTTTACCGTAATTTTGATTGAAATGAAATGGGGCAAAAGTCCCAAAGTGTTGTTATTGATGCTCTGAGACTGTTTAAGAGCTCTTCGTCTCCATTAATGATCAGCACGAGGTCCAATCTCAGCGCACCCCCTCCTACTTGTCGCCATAGCTGTCTAAGTTTCAGGTGTCCGGCAACTATTAAAGTAGGTATATATATGCAATTAAAAACGAACGCAAATCCTAAGAAGAAACAACCAGTGCCGGAAGGGGGGAGGTGTTAGCCAGAAATGGTGAAAAAATAAGAGACGTCTATGTCCTAGACTACCTAAAAGCAAAGAACTATAGCAAAAGTTCAGCCATTCCCAGACAACTTTGCGTTACGGGGGCGAAAGCAAAATTACCCCGAATGAATAGCCTCCGCCTCACTGATAAACTCAAAGACTTCGTAATTGGGCAATTATTTGGGCGTGATTTCACTTCGGCTCGCCGACCGCTCAAAAGTCCCCCCCCCTCCCTTATTCCGCTTGGGTTGGCGGTGAGCTCCTGCGGGTCAACTAGGGGTGTGAGCGGCGGCCTGGTTAGCCGGCTTCAACCGGGGTGGGCGATTCGTGATAGCTGTTGTGCAGGCCGTGCAAGGCATGTTACAGCCCCTCATGAGGGGCTGATTCGTTGGGGTGGATCTTGTCAAAAGGTGCTCATGCGATATCAACATAAAAATTATGTGGTGAAATCTCTGACTCTTGCCATGTAAGGCGTTTAATAATGAATGTTTTATCATGCTATAACATTACTATTAAACCTTGAAGGTTCTTGCAACTCCGACTAAAAAATTGTTACTGTCAGGCCTATACCCACGTTTCACACAAAAGACCTTTTCTGAGATATTCTAGTTTCCTTCTTGTGCCATGAGACAAAGACTCGAGATATCAGCCCCAAATATCTTACAACGTCTTGCCTATATCATGTTTGATTGTATTTTCAAAAGCCGCTCTGTTACTATTGACATATGTCGGCATAAAGTAACTTTGCCGCGTGTACATTCGGCCTTAAAGGTACATAATGTGAATTTATTCTGGCCACGATTATGATTTGTATTTCAATGGCAATATAAGCTTTAAGATTGTAAGGAAAATGTTTCAGAAATTTAGAATTTAATGCTGGCCGTAGTTACCTCAACGGAATGTTGGTGTGAAACTAACTTGTTTGGTGAATGGAGTATGGGGAGGGATGTGGTCAACGTTTAGGGGATGAACTTGCCGAAAAATGGACGAAGTTGGTTTTATTACCAATCTTGGGCAAATTGCCAACATGCGTCCTATCTCTTTGTTAGTTTTATAGTGTCTTGCAAGCATAATGAGCCACGCGTTAATAATTCCTTGGAATCACACTTCAGTCTCGTAAAAGAATGTCTGCTCCACTGCGTTGGCAATTCAACTTGTTAATCACAACATTCTCGTGGAATAGAACAAACAGTCTGTCACCTCGTGAAATTATTCTTACCAAAGTACTCGTGAACATCCGTTATTTGTATATTAAACAACATCAGTTCGAAGAGATTTCGGGTTATAAGCACTCTTTGATCGGCCTGTGGCAACGAGTGAATAAGGGATGGAAGTGATTTACCGGAGGGTGGCCTAGAGCGTACAGTCCACAGTTTTAAATCTTAAGAAGTACTATCATTTTACAAACACGATGAGATAGAGTAGGCCACGGTAACTTTATTGTTCTTGTTACCGATTTTTCCTTATTTTTATATCATTTTACATTTGCAAACCCTATACTTTCCTCCTATAAAATCCCTCAGGATACACCTATCCAGGCAATATGAGCTCATAACTAAAGCTAAAATAGGGATCACACTTCATTGTGACGGATTTTTTTTTAAAGTTGATTGCTTTTGGACGAGTGGGCCCACGCGCTCTCAGCGACAATCCTGCCTGAGAGCAGATCTATCCTGGTACGGCGGTGACAGGTATGTAAACTAGGTGCAGTCGTCAAAGGCCACCTTCTTCACCAAGGCTGATATTTTCCCAAAGCGTTCCTCGGTAATGTTCAGGTACTTGACATCCCTTGGTTGAAGTTTCCACCGCAGATTGATTTCAACACTTTCTTAAGATTGTGTGCTGACTTTCTCCTTCGTTCGCGCTAAAAGGTTTTTCCTTTGCAATTTCACGTCCAATCTCATTACCGCACGCAGTGGAACGTGGACGTGCTATGACATACGTCAAATTAGCACCACAGAATCCTCAAATACAAGTATCTTCAATACTAATAAATAAGGAATTTTATGGATCACATTAGCCAAGATCTGGAGTAAATTTTTAAAAGCACATATTAATTGAGGTTTTGTGCTAGACCCTGTTACTTGTTTAACATGGTCATTCATGTTGACTTTTGGTGGATTTCTGTACATCACATTTCCATATAATACTTTTGCATGAATATTGCATTTTCATGCCTGCAAATTCCAAACCAGATGTCATTAATCGCCTCATGAAAATGTACCATATGCAATCAGTTTGGCTAGTTGAAACCTCAATGACGTTTGAACAATTAGCATGCTAATTTGATTGTATCCATGACTTTAATAAATGAACGTTCAAAAAAAATGCGTCTGGCGAAATACAAACGTTAGGAACAACGTCTGATAGCATTTGCCGCGTAGGCAGGCGGCAGAGCGAACACGGAGTTCCCGAGCTATGAAAAGGAGAAATCGAGATGAAAATTAATTTCAAAGTCCAAAGCACCTGTTGTGTTCAATTACCGTTACCTGCCTCGGTATCATGCTGTTGAGGTGCTGAAAAGGAGAAGCTTCACCACACAGCAAACGAATACCATCTATTTTCTTACGGTACAGCATCGCAATTTAAAAAAAGGAATGGATGGAGAAAACATGTGGTAGCACTGCAGAGTTTCACGAAGATAGCTACAAAATCACGTGACCTTCCCACGTGGAAACGCCACAATTGCTCAACTGCACGCAATGTAGCTTGCACATGCGCTTTAAAACACATGCGCCAATTTATCGTTGAAAAGCAAACCAACGAGGTAACTGTCGCTGGTTTATGTGAATTATCAAACACCTTCAGATGACATCAAAACAATTCCCAATCCACTGGAATCCTATATTGTGGAGATGGAGAAGAAGTGGGACATGCATTAATTGAAAACTCCCTTGATAACAAGAATTGCCTCACCTCCAAATGTGGGTGTTTAAAGTAAGTTTCATCGGGACGAAATTGAGTTTTATTTCATACATAATTCATGATCCGGTATGCGTACTTTTCACTATTCATGAAATGCCACCAGCCAATCATAACTAAAAACTCATGTGCGCAGGGCGTAGGTTGCTCTGCCCGGAACTTCAACTAACCAATCGTCACGCCTGTTCACCCTGCCGCATCGATCGCTTAGCGATGATATCTGATGAAGGCGGTGAACCACAGAACGCACAGTCCACGGTTCGTCAGCAGTCGAGCTTACCGAGTCGTGCTCTGCGAACGCTTCCGAAGGGCGACTGAACCGACATCAACAGACCTTAACTGAAATTCTGCGAGAATATTACCCACGTGCGCTAATTGGGCATCGCCTGAACCAGTAGACCTTCACAAGGTACGTTCAAATGCCGTGTGATTCTCATAAATCTTCAGGGTTCTCCGTAATTGCTTGTGATGTGAGGTGGTGAAAGGCGGGCAGTGGAATAAGACATGTCAAGCTTGTGTGGCAAAATTAGTTTATAGGAAGCTCGGTGCTTTATCATTCACATTTTGCCTGTTTCATTTGAAACAAAGGTTACTTCGTTAGTCTATATTCCGAGCTGTGTGCTTGGGGTGTTAAAAACTGAAGCCTCTTTTGGACTCTTACCATCGATTTAGAACAATTTAGACGTAGGGTGTATGTAAAATCATATTGAAATCGGAGGATTTGGGACTGTTAGGGTTTTACGCTGCAAAGTACATTTAGAAAAGCCGTTTTAACCCAATATCTAAAAGTTGTTGAACGCAACCACTTCATTAAGAGAACAACGAATTTATTCCTGTGCTCAGTAATAATTGAAATGTATCATTTGAATAAAATACTTTACCAAACACTTGTACAATTTGAAACGTTTGGTGTCTTGGTATCAGATAATCTTATCCTTTCAATTTCCAACGGGCGATTCAAAAGACGATTAAAATAGTCCAAATTGATATGTATTTGAGTCTGAAAAAACTACAACACAAAAACGTACCTATTTGATATTTAATGACTCAGTATTAAGACACAAAATAAGTAAATTTTCAACGAATGATCTTAAATCATTCTGTAACTTTTCACTCGGCCTGTCACTGTGCTAGACGCACCATGGCTATTTGCATAATTACGAATTTCAACAGTTCAACTGCCATCCTTTAACGCTACGAATGCCACATTCAGTGGATTTTTTTTTTCAACCAAATGAGCTCACAAACGCCGGCTGATTATAAGACGTGTTAGATTTTTTTATTACCATGCAATTTACGCCTGAGTTGGTCACCCTTCACAGTTAAGTGGCTACATCGGCGCAGCAAAGGGACATCTAATTAATGCAACATAAACCGTGTTGCTCAAAGGGATGCATCTCGACTTTGCTATTTAGAAAGTTGTTTTGAGCAATTTGACATCATGCATCATGTTTGTTCGGATCTTACCGGTCGTGAGGGATAGATCTGACCAAATATTTTCCACACTGTCAGTGAAGTAGTTGCCGTTCAACTCCCTTCCTGCTCACGGCTAAGCTTGTTAAAAATTACTCTCATAAAAAGAACTCTCACGAGCGTATTGTCTATAATCCTCTCTCTTTCCGAGCGATGAATTAGTGTCTCACTTTTCTTTTTGTACCATCTCGAGGCGGTTTACGCCCAACAATGCGTCAATCTCTAACAGACATTTTGATATCACTAAAAGTGAACTAATTTTGGTCAAACGTGTTACCATTCATATATCTTAGTGACATTGGATTTTATAAATGATAAATTCTGAAGAGGTCGACATTAAGCCAAATCGCCAAATCCAATCCATTCACGAACAGTTCATTACGGATGCGAAAGGCCTCTTCATATCTCATCAAACAACGTTCCACAGCTCACCAATTACAACCTGTCCCTCCGGAATATTTATGGATAAATGCAATTCCAGATGTACCCTTTTGGTCGTGTTTCGAAGTTTTATGTCAATGTGACTGTCCAAGGTACGGATGCCTAGAACTGCCATATGGATAACATATACATGTATAATTATAATATAAACGCACTTCGGTTGGCGGAACAATGACCGTGTCGATAGCTTCAAAACGTAATGACATCACGTTTTGTTTACTTGTATTTACTATAGGAAAGCGCACGGGTAAACAAAGCGTGACGTCAACATTGGTCATTGGATGTTGAGGGTTCAAGGATGAATCGATATTAACCTGTGTTTAATTATTCCATCTCTCTTAAGTGAACAACAATCGGGAACACTCCCTCCAACAACTATGAACCTTGATCTGAGATGCCTTAGCGCCGGCCTTGTCCTGCTAGTCATTCTTGGGGTCTCATGGGCGGTGCCCCTGGACTTATACGACCCCGACGAGTGGCACCAGAATGAGGCGCAGGAAGAGGTCAAGAGGGACCGCTGGACTTACCCGGCGGTGCCTCCTCGGGAGACCCGCGGCCGTAAGAACTGGAGGTCCAACCCGTACAAGATGCTGAACCTGGTGGACGACAGTGTCAAGACCTTCGATTCTCGAATCATGGTAAGTTTGTAACTACGGACACAAGCATTTGAGAAAAATCGTTCTCCAATAAAGAAGCAAAGATTGCGTCCTGTGACTCAGTTCTTAACTCGGTAGTCAAAACTTTAAAAGGGGAACATAGTGCAGTGCCACGCTTATTGATGATGGAAGGTCAACACTGCTGCAGTGCCATGTCGCCTTTGAAAATTTCAGAGAGAATCCAAACAGATTTCAAAGCATTTCTTTCTGAAAACATTCCACTGTCATCCACTTACAGCAAGCGGTCCTTCCCATACACCGTTACTACTTCGTTGTTGTCAATGCTTCAATCAAATTGTTCATGTACTGTTCATGCTATATCCAGCCATAGGGAATTTGCACTTCATTACCAAGGGCGAGTGTGTGATTCTTGAATTCACAGTAACTTTTTTTAATTACAATCTCGAAGAAATACGCAATCAGAAAATCACCAGAGAAGTTGAATCTCTCAAGTTTAGTAATGAATGCAGCTATTCAGCAGCTATCTTCCCTTCCTTTCGACGTCTCACGTCTTTTTGGGCAAGATTCGTTGCACGATTTCTGTGAGCTCCAACATAATGTTTATTGAAATTCGAAAGGTAACCATTCCATTGGAAGCGTCTTCTTGGTAAAGAGCCGTGCTATTGTGGTCCATGTTAGAATTAAATGTTGTTTTTATTTAAGATCGAAGCAGGACGTGCAAAAGTACCAGCAACCCTGTTCTGAAACACTTGACGTTGCTAAGCTGCATTGTTTAACAGAGCTGTAAAGGTGTAAGCAGGTGGTGTGTGCCACCAGGAACACCCATAAGCCTTCTGAGTGTTCGAAATCATACCCTTAATTACGCTGATCGTTAATAAAATCACGACAACTGTAAAATAAGAGCTATTAGTGCACGAAATCGCAGACGCTCGAGGCCCCCTGTAACGTTTCGCTGTACAGTTGTGTATATTCGAAATGCCGCCCGAAGACCAACACCTGCTCATCTAAAGTATCAACGGTGGGAGATAATTCATTGCTACATTAAAGTAAGCAAGCACAGCATAATTCATCGATTTTGCTTTAAATTTTTCATTACAGTTTACTGTCTTCACAGAATTGCATTTAGGCCTACAGAGAAAACACAGTTTGCCGATCGGAGTGCCATGCAAAATATCTTTGTCAAGTGTATTTTTTTTTTATATTTTCGGCAACCATGTGAATGGGTCGAAGGTCTCTTTCTGTGAGTCTTTGATTATGTTGAAGTTTAGCTTTAGAGGGCTGCAAACTGTCTTTAATTGAATGAGATGCGATATGATGCAGAAAAAAAGATTGAAATCTCCTCCAGAGAAAACAGCGATTAATCTATATCACTCAGTCAGCGTACAGTAATTTGTTAATCATCGAGAACTGGCCCTCCACTGCTTCAAAAAGGTTACTGGAAATCCCCGCCCCCGAGCCAGATATGCAGCAGAAGTTAGGCCTACTAGAGATGTACCCCTGTAATTTGATCAACTCTCAATCGTGTCTTACGTCTGTGTGCATAATTGTCACAGTGACATAACAGTCATAGTCGGGCACCTCTGATGTGCAACTAGGTGAATACACATCACTAGCCTTATAGGCACACAGCTGGCTTGTATAGTGAATCGGTCCACGAAATACATATTGCAGAATTCATGACACCAATATGGAATGAAAACTGATTATCAAGCTCCAGAAAAGCCCTGTCGGATTTGACGCCCAGAATCAAGGCATCCTAGCTGGCAGCTGGAAACATAGATGTCTGTGAGTCTGTGAATGACTGTATCTTTAGCCTGCGCCTCAATTGATGGCCATGTAATCTTGCAATCCAGTCTTTTCCTAATTTATTAATGCGCACAACTGATAGGTGCAGGTGCGCTAAACTTTCCTCGAAGTACGGTACAGTGCACCTTGAGCTTTTGGGCGGATGAGGCTGATTCATTATTCCTAAAATTGTGAGACAAGCAAGATAATTCGAGGAAGTGTGACTGAAACAGCAATTAAGGAAAGCTAAAGACTGGTATTGCGCTGATGTGCACAAACCAAGCGCATTGTCGCCAAATTCAACTGATAAAACGGCCAGATACCATGCAGCAGCAGTGGATATGCGTCTTGTGGTGGATATAGGCAGTGATCCTGCACGTTCTACACACGTAATTTCCCCCATCACCGCCTTTCACTTTTCCCCTTCATCACAACCCATTTACCAGTGATGGGCTGTCAGTGATGTATCGCTGGTGACTTGTCTCCTCCCCCCCCCCCGCGGGAAAGTCATATAATCAGCCCTTAATCCCCGGATAACTGTGTGGGCTGATGAATTATTCAAGAAGAAAGCCGTGAAAGATTTATCGTGTTAATGAGAAATTAATCAACAACCGGTGGAGAGGATATATTCTCCCCAGAGTTTGGTTTGTTCACGCTTCATCCTTTACATCGCCATGAAAGTGCGTCGGATTATTACACAGCGCTCGAGGTTCGTTTACAAATTCCACTCCAGGTGAGACATTGCTTCGCAAACAGTGAAGTTGCCCCGAACTTGTCTCGAAAATCAATCTGCCAAAAAGTTGTCTCAAATCCTGTTCGTGATCCCATAAAAAATGATTAAAACGATACAATGAGTTTGCACTCACTCACTAGTGCAAAGCGGACTATTAAAAATGCGCATTATTGACCTGGGGACGATGTCGTTACAGGAACACAAAGAAAGTACAAAATTGCTGGAACTAAACATAACATAGAACTACTTATTGCCCGTTTATTGGCATGCCTTACCCTTCCAACCGCATGCTTTTGAAAATATTTATCTGATTTGAGTGCTGTGGATGTTATATCACGTTACGACTCTGGAGGAACACTCCGTCTACTTTCAAGTTCTGCGCCCCTGCCAAACCTGATCATTCACGTGCTGAATGGTAGTCCGCTTTCACGAGTCGTTGCGGCTATTGACAACATGCAAAAGTCGGCTTCCAAATAGGGAAATCACTTAGTGTTTCCTCATGAAACCTAGGCTTTCCATCTGCGACGACTGCTCAAGTCTGAAGCCATCATGTCAAATGCGAAGCAGATTTCATTGTGTAGGAGTTCAAGATGCTGCCCTAAATCACCAACACGGGCGAAACAAAGAGCTGTCAGGAAATGGAGCACACTTGAGAAAAGACGACAGGAAACGTATTGAATTTGGTCAACTTTAATGGCTGACCGTTTTTGCTGAAGTTGAGCCCGCAAAATCAGGTGACCGACGAACCTGTCGGACGATGGCCAGTACTTGTGACGTCGTGTTGAGCCCAACCGAATCAATCTGAATCGAACCGAGCCGGCCGACCCGAAAAGAATCCAACCGTGTCTCATTGGATGAACAAAGCGAGTGACCTCAGGCCTGCATAATTCTAATTATCTTGTCTCATACAAATTATGCCAGATCTGCTAAAACATCCGTTTTTATGATATGAAGCCTACAATGTGACCAGAGTCGCATGCATTTATCTTTCATGTCATTGCCTTTTTGCAACTCCCAAAGGCGCAATGTTTGGACAATATTTGAACAATAATTGGTCATCGAACCTCGACTGTATTACCCTTTCACTTGATGAGATTCCCAATATGGCTCGTCAAATAAGAGTGTGCCCGGAGCCAAATAAATTAAATCCAAAGGATAAAATGCCAACTAAAAAAGAGGAGCACGCGCGTTGATGGCGCGGCTTTCATCTCCTAGAGAATAAAAATACTGTTGATTACTGACGGAAAATTATCTCCGTGCAGTTTTGGTGGCAACCTTATTGCATTAGGTAAATTAGTCAGGCAATATCTGAAAGCAAACCACAGTTGAAAAGGAAAAGTGGTAACTAATTGCTGCGAGCGTTCGAACAAGAGACCGCGCAGTCGTCACAAAGATTTGAGTGGGCTTGTCGCGGTGGATGCATCGCGTGTCACAAAGAAGTCAGCTGCTCTGGGACGTTTGTATTCCCATATCCCGAGTGCATTTCCTCGGGTCGGATAAAGGAAGTCTTCCCAAATGGACGCGCCGTCCATTATCTTGGATCCATCCGTGGCGAGTATTGGGTGAGCGATTGTTGATTTCCGTCGGCTCACTCACTGCAATTCCCTCATGCTGCGAGGAACTTGAACAGCGCCTGTATCTGGCCGAGGTGATACTCTATAAGAGCTGACGCGGTCAGTGACGCTGCGCAGCGGGAAAGCTCCTATCGGAGTGGTGGGTAACATACGGCTGCTTTGCAGTGACCCATCCGATGCACTATTCCTGTCTTGGTTTGCTGGAGCAGGGACACCGATGCGAAAATCCTATATACAGTACAGGCCAAATTATACCACTTAATCACCCCAGGACTGCAATGCCTCCCGAGACTAATTGTGGAAGCGCACACAGAAATTCGAACCTTTATGCAACTTTTTGAGGAGCATTTAGTATAAAGTTCTGCCGGAAAAACATTCACCTCTCAAAAGTTCAGCTCTCTTGTGCTGCTCGGAAATTTGATTCAGTGCGTTAAATTGTGAAATGCACCATCAAAGTAGACAGTGAATTAGTTGCGCATATTAACACATGAATTCCTGACGGAAACCTTCAAGGCAGGCTATGCTCGAAACAGTTACAAGATTAAAGGTCTTGTTTCATATCGTTGGAAACAGTGGCTCTGAGAACGTATGCCTCAATTTATTTCGTATTCATTAAATAATCTACTTTGATTCTCCAAGGAATAGCGAGTATAATCCAGGCGCGTGCGCCGAGCACAGCCAGGATGAGCCTTCCATCTAAAATCGCTACAAACTAGGTGATTACTGTTGAAATTACAAGCCGATAAACGCAGTGCGTCGTCTCCGTATCATCCGTTCGCCTGGAGCTCACCGTAGTGCACGATTGTTCAATAACGTGCGTGCTTGCAAAATTAATGTTGAGCGACGCCAAGTCGTGGTGGCCTGTCGGGCTCCTTGGTCAGAACTGGCAGCAATGCCATTAACTATGAAATAGTGGTCATCTTGACGGC